CAAGGAAAAAATGCACAGAACAGTTTCAACAGTGACATCAAAACTTTTCGCAATTAAAACCAGCACAATTAATTTTCTCAACATGCAGTTTGATTTTCTCGAATCCACGTATACCATACGCGACCATCAGGAGATCTACTGGACACAGGACTACCGCCACGTGACTCGGTAGCTCCCCCTTCATGGTCGACGGGGCGGGGTTCTACTAGACCACAGGGACCTACAGCACAGCCACGTGACTCCGGTAGCTTCTCCTCACGCACGAGGAGGTCTCACTACCACACGCGACCATCAGGAGATCTACTGGACACAGGACTACCGCCACGTAACTCGGTACCCTCCCCTCATGTCGAGGGGTCTACTAGACACAGGACTACAGCACAGCCACGTGACTCGGTAGCTCTCCTCACGCGAGGAGTCACTACCACACGCGACTATTACAATATCTACTGGACACAGCGACTTACCGGATTCCGCGGTTAACTCGGTACCGCTTCCCCTGCAGGCAGCAGGCGGTCACTACCAACACCAACCATCAGGGAGAAAATCTACATGCGACACATGACTACAGCCACGTAACTCGGGTTTTACCCTCCCCTCATGCTCGAGGCAGTCTACCGGACACTTAGTGCATTACAAGCGCCACGTGACTCGGTACCCTCCCCTCATGAGAGGTGTGGCTGATGATGAGACTTACTTGTCGCGCTGCGCTGCTTGCTGAGACGCTTCGCCTTGTCCGGCTCCGCCGCGTTCGTCGGACGACTTCCACCGCCGCTCCCTCGGGCGCTCGCCTGCGATTGACCCATCGGACGGTCACGCCGACGACCCTTCGCTCAAAAGTAAACAGCGTCAGTTCGGTGTCATGGCGTTTCTTTCGTTACTGTATACGCATATTTTTCGGCGAATTCAGACTTCGGTCAGCGGAACAATTTCCAGATCGGGCGAGTGGTTAATCTCGATGCCCTCGGCCTCGCGATTCTCTCCCACGCGAAAAATCGCAGGTAAAGGAACGGAGCGTCAGTTGTTGTTTGTTATTTTACCCATGTTGCTTATTTTCTGCGGTCAGCTGGAGCATTCGCGAAGCACCCTCTTACAGCCACATATAACAGTAATTTACTATCGTATTTTTCTGCCATTCTATGCATTGACTCATATGTTGTTGACATTGTATACAGTACATACATTTATTTGAGTAAATATATTTGTCTCTGATGTAGGAAGTTTTCCCTCTAGTCGCCCACGAAGTTTCAGGGCAGATGTTGCACAGTCTGAATCTCCGTTGAGCATACCGAAGCAAAAACAAAACCACAAAGGCGAAACCATGGTTATCAAGCCTCACGAATGGAGATAGATCAATTTATCGTCACTCGTTGGAAGTGGCCGATCGTCTGCCAGACTTCAGCTGGTTGCAGAATGCGCTAAGGTCACGTTCGAACAGGACCTGATGTGCGGCGTGGCTACTCGGATTGGAGCAGGGTTGCTGCAAGGTGGGTCGTGCGCGGCCTTCTTAGGTGGTTGATTCCGACGGGATAGCAGCAAACCCTGTGAAGAGAAGTAATAATTGCAGTGCCTTGAATCACTAGCCTTCTCTAAAGTCCATCACCTTTATTTTTCATGAAATTTTACATCTTTTTTCAGTTTGCTCCTATTCTCACCCACTTCCTATTGTGCCCCATGTTGCCCTACCCATTCCGTCTTCCTCCTCCTCTTCAATTGTCAACTCTTTCTCTGCTACACTACTCTGCCCTCCCTGCGTCATCAACCCTTTGCACTCCTTCTCACTTCCCGCTTTGTCTCTCTCTCTGCTCTCTCTCTCTCTCTCTCCTCTCTCGCTCTATCTCCTGTCTATTCTCTCTATCTCTCTCTATCTTCTCTCTCTCTCCTCTTCGCTCCTCTCATCTCTCTCTCTCTCTCTCTCTCTCTCTCTCTCTCTCCTCTCTCGTCTCTACTCGCTCTCTTTCTCTCTCGCTCTATCTCTCGTCTACCCTCTCTCTCTCTCTCTCGCTCTATCTCTCTCTCTCGCTCTCTTGCTCTCTCTCTCTCTCTCTCTCTCCTCTCTCTCTCTCTCTATCTCTCCGCTCTTATCTCTCTCTCTCTCGGCTCTCTCTCTCTCTCTCTCTCTCTCTCTCTCTCTCTCTCTCTCTCTCATCTCTCTCTTCTCTCTCTCTCTCTCTCTCTCCTGCTCTCTCTCTCTCCCTCTCTCCGCTCTCTCGCTATCTCGCCTATCCTCTCGGCTATCTCGCCTATTCTCGCTATCTCGCTTATCTCGCTATCCTCGCTATCTACGCCTATCTCGCTCTCTCGCTCTCTCGCCTCTCTCGCTCTCTCGCTCTCTCGCTCTTCGCTCGGCGCGCTCGTCTCTCTCTCTCTCTCTCTCTCTCTCTCTCTCTCTCTCTCTCTCTCTCTCTCTCTCTCTCTCTCTCTCTCTCTCTCTCTCTCCTCCTCTCTCTCTCTCTCTCTCTCTATCTCTCGTCCCTAATTATAAAGTGTGTTTCACGCTGCTGTCTGCATCCGTACCTGGTGGCGTAGGGAGCTCATCATAGGTGACCGGCTTCCCAGCCTTGTGGTTGCGGATAGCCGTCTCGTATTGCTTCACGATGCGGCCCATGCGCCGAGCCTTACGATCACCAACACCCTCTGATTTCGCCTGCTTCTCGCACTCCCTGTACTTTGCCAGTCGCTGCTGCAGCGCCTCCGCTACTGTAGAGGGCGCCTCTGGAGCCTGAAACAACGTCTTTTCCTCTGCGGAGGAGAGCAAGCGAGGTGTAAGCACCGCGGGAAAATAGAAGTCTAGTTCTATTCATTTTCTGCATTTGGCTGCATTTCTCTCCGAAAAGAAGTGCGGCACTTGTTTCATTTCACGAATGAAATTCTCTCTGCCCTCTTCTACAAACACGCAGTGTGCGTAATTACTCAATTAAAACCTACAGATAAACTGTCCAAGCTTTTTTGGATTTATGGATCAGTGGTTTGCTGGAGTGGCGCAAAACACGAGTCATAGCAGCAGCTCCAGCATTTTAGATGTGGTTCGGGACAAAAAACAGTGAGGAATAAAAGATTACAGTGAGGATATGCTCAGTACATGTATTTGTATTTGAACTGCATGCAATAAAGATTTCATTATATCAATAATAAATAATAGGAAGGAACAGCTGGCCACAGACAATGCTAGACTGCCATCTTGCCCTACCTTCGGGATTCCCCTCTATTTCCTCCTCTTCCACCGCCTCCGTGTTTGCCAAACCCTGCCTGGCTTCGGTCACTCTCTGCTGGGCAGGGGGAGGCTCGATGACCTTTCCTTCGGTGGGGAACCCCGGCGGCGGAGGAGGCATGCCAGCCAGATCCACTGGTTGTCCGCTCTCCAACGCCGCAATCACCTGGTCGAATTGCTGAAACACACGTGTTTAAACACATAAATCCGTCAGGAACATATAAATAGGAACATCACACGGTGACCTTGTCATTGGGATGTGACCGTGGAGCTGTTGTCCGACATTATTTTTTTCCTAAATGTTGTACCGTGTTTTTTCTCCTAGTTTTTTACACACCTTGATGACCTTCACGTGTCTGACGGCCGTAACTCGGTCGCCCCCCTTCTTTGCCTGCAGCGCGGCCACCTTGTACTGATCCCTGCGCGTCCTCAACACGACAATAGTTGGGTCCGCGGCCGGCTGCACCGCAGCAGGAACGTCCTCGGGTTGTGCCACTGCGGGAGCCGGCAGAGGGGGGGTGGGCAGGCGAGGCGCACTGACTGCTTCGTCACTGGCTGGTGGTTGTGGCTCTTCCTCATGGGGTATTGCCACTGGCGGAGGTATGTCGTCGACACTGACCAGCTTGCCGGCGCGAGCGGATTTCACCTGGTTCTCCAGCGTCTGGAAAACAACGACAAACGATCGGAATATTTCTCTGCTAACCAAACGCGTCCTCTCCGCCCGTCGGTGCGGTCACCGATTTCAGGGGCGGATCCAGGGGTGAAGCTAGACAGTATTTTTCCAGATTTTAAGGGCACATCCCCCCAAACGTTTCCATTCTGTTGCCAGTTTATAGTCCGACGAAGAGATATAATTCTCTAAAGCTCGCGTATTCAAATTAAAACACCCTATTCCTATTTTTTACATTGATTTTATTTGTATATATATATATACCGTGTTACCCACTGGTAGATTAGGAGTGACATATTGCTCACCTGGGAGCAGGGAACATGGAACACGCACTGTTGTTATTACACACTCGAGGGTTACGCTACGGCGAAACATTGCCAGCCGGTACACAGCAGTAACATTTAAAACACTGCCTCTCTTCGGACGCTGACCGCGCACATTTCTCGCTCTCGGCTCCGACTGGTTGACAGCTCACCTTGGACGGGCTGCTGCGCAGCCATTGGTCGATGATGAGCCATTTTTCCTTGGTCTCCTCGACCTGCTTGCTCACGAACGGGTCACGTATGCGCAGTTTGACCTCCACACGACCTCCGACCGCCTTTCTTCCATCCATCATCTACACCCAGACAAATCGGTTACACGTTATGGGCACCGGTTTGTGCACTGCACGGATAGCAATGTGAAAAGCAAGAAAGTGGAGAGGGTGTAGCGATTATGAGAATTAACACACGTATGATTATTCACAAGTTGGCTATGGTGTACTTTTTACATATATGATATCAATAGCGTATTGAGTATGCTTACTCAATACGCTCTTGATGTATCATTTACATGGCAGCTACACGTTGTTGTAGCATTCTAGAGTGAGCAGGGAGGATGCACGCATGGATATACATACGTCGTAACTCTGATGAACGATGCAGTGCGTCTCAAGTGGCTGTAGCGGAACCTTCACAGAACCGAGGGAAGTATCACCTCTCAGGAAACCCCTGCAACGACAAGAAACGCTAACATCTAGAGGACCACACAACAAATTTCCGACAAAATTCCGGAATTATCCGGAAAAATTGGCAAAATGCCACCAATGAACTTGCGGTGACATCTACAGGGGGAAAATGCAAGACTTGTATCGTGTAAGACGTGTGAGCAACCGTTGCTTACCCCTTCGCGAACACTTCCAACTTGATGTAGTGACGTTTGACTAGCCTGAGAAAACTGCGCGACTTTCGGTTGATCTGAAGCTTGACCTTAGCATTGTATTCGGGATTGTTCGTGTCCTTCACGGTGGAAATCTTTCCCTGCGGAGGGGTATCCTGAAGAAAGATATCACCTTATTCAGTAGCAATAACGAGAACAACAGCACTGCTAATTCCGTATCCAATTTGTTATTATTTCTGACTTCTAGTTTGCAATGCGTGTGAGCTGCACATGATCTGAATAGTCATATTCACTGTATTAATTTACTCATTGATAGCAATATAATAGCAACAATTTTCTACGCCAGTGGAGGCCTTTGCAGGGGTAGAAATTAACTTTTGAACACGGGAGTCCAACGGACTCCCTACCCTCAAAAAGAGGGAGTCCGCAGCAAAATGAGGGAGTCTGCAGTCTGAGGTTCAAAATTAAAGCTATTAAAACAATAACGCATGTGCTTATTTTTAAGATTCATGCGGTTGCATGTCTGCCAAATTTTCTTTGGACATTAGCTGAAAAAATACTGTAATTCCACGAGGCCCTGCTCTGGAACGAACTAGTTAGTATGGCAGAATTTTCAGGAAGTTACACGGACTCCTGCATATCTCAAATCAGGGAGTCCAACAGTAAATCAGGGAGTATTTGACTCCGGACTCCCATTAATTTCGCACCCTGCATTTGTACTGCCTTTGTAGTGCTTTTTAAATACACATTAAAATAATAACTTACAAAAAATTTAAATTAAAAAAAAAGGATCATTTCAATGCATTCACATGCGAACACTTTCAATACACACAGCAGTAAGCTAATGTTAACCTATTTATTGCATAGAGCATCGATCAGAACGCTCTAGTAAGAAAACAATAAGAGAATTGCAACAAATTTTTTAGACAAACACCATACTCACGGATGGATAGGGAAACTCCCATCGAATATATGTATCCAAGTCCTTTGGCGCCGTAGCTGAAAGACAGATCACAAGAACATATAATACAGGCAGGAAGAAAAGATAACTTACATATTTATAATTTTATTTCAATTCAATTTCGATCATATGTTTGTCTCTTTTATGATATATGTGTGAGTGCATACATGCATGTGTGGCACCCGGCAGTTAGATGCGATATGATATGACTACTAGGCACTTAAAAAAAAAAACAACCCTAACCCTAACCCTAACCTAACCTAAACCCAACCTAAACCTAAAAAAAAAAAAAATTTAATTAAATTAAAGTGCCTAGTAGTCATATCATATCGCATCTAACTGCCGGTTGCCATGTGCACGTGTATGTATATTCTATTACATATATCTTAATATTAGGCATGTAAATATTCACATGCCTCGGTCGTAGATAACATGGGCATGACACTATACGCCGGAATAAAGAGCGGACTTACATGAACTGTAGTTGATGCCTCTAACGATGATGAGTTCCATGTCGTTATCTCCAAGGTCAAGACACGACCTGCAACAGCACACACACACATGTAGACCTGGTATCTCGTCGGTACTTTAACTCGCCGGTCAGTGATCGTAGACAGTGATGATCAAAGACGTCTTGTACAATACAGGTTTTATTCAAAACATATGTCGCGACGTACACACGCACGTCTGTACGCACGTGCGCCACACCCAGAATTTCCTTCTCGATCCTTCTCTTCCCTTTTATATCTATCTCACTATCCATACGTCGCAGTTCCGTACAACCAATGGGCAACTCTCGTGCCGTATTGATTGCTGAATATGGTGGTGGTGCAATCGCCCTTGCATGCGACCATGCCGGCGTGTGACCATGCGTCATCCGTACGAAATACCCGCATTGCGTTGTGTCATCCGTATTTTGTCGTGGCGCAGTATAAATTCTCGTTGCCACACACACGTGTACTCACTGCACGTACTAGTATGAACATATCTATACAATACAGTGTATGCATGTGTTGATAATAATAATAGCAACTAGCCTATAAAAAACTTTTATTTGCCAATAAACCATCACCTTGATGTTTTAGATGTTCGACTAGTCTAAACACATCCTTATCAGCCATGAATTTGAGGACATACTTATTGCCATCCTGTGCTATAGATAAGATTACGATGCCATTAAGGAACATTTCTCACACAAAAATATAAACAATTTGTTTACGAATGTCGTCCCCATAAAAATGTGACATAGTCAAATTCGTCTTTCCATTCTTTCCAGACAATTCTTCTGTCCATAGTCAGTCATAGCCAACTTCTCCCCCTACGAGACATCCCTGTTGCACGTATACTCACTGCACCACCGACATCGTCCTGTTATCGTAGTGGAACTTCGGCACCGGGTCACCATGTTTGAACGCGTGTCTCAGAGCATCAAGGTCCTTTTTGCAACCTTCGGCCATCTTGTCGTACTTGGACGCGCTGCCCACGTCGCCAAGCTGCATGTAGTGCTGACTGTTCTTAGAGCAAACCTAGACGAGAGGAGAGAGAAATAATTTGTTTTAATCTTTGCCAGGAAAATGGTAATTGAAGAACAAAAAAGAGAGTGACGAGAAAAGGGAAGAGAGGAAGAAAAAATAAAAATAAAAACTGATGTAAAGACAAGAAGGAAGACATCAATAATTCCACCAGTTGCTATAAAATGATTTCAGATGTAGAATACTCAGGATAGGTTGGTAGATAGGACTATTTTCCTTTGCCATTTATTATGCAGTCTTGCTATCTGTGCCAGATAAAACAATAACAACAACAACAACAACAACAACAACAACAACAACAACAACAACAACAACAACAACAGCAACAACAACAAAAACAGCAACAACTTCATCATCAACAACAACAACAACAACAACAACAACAACAACAACAACAACAACAACATCAACAATTAACAACATCAACAGCAACAGCAGCAATGGTGGCCCACGCTCACGCTGCTACACACGTCCGTCTGCCCACCGCACACATGGCGTGGAACCTGCATACCTTCGTCTGCTGAATAAGTTGCTCCTCCAGCTTGTTGTACAACTTCTCCCTGTCACTCTCCCCTGAACCAGCGACGGACTGGGTGGGCATGTCGGACGAAGGCGAGACCTTGAGCTGAGGTGGCACGGGAACCTGAACGAAGACGCAGCCGCGCGATTACACTCACAGCTCCCGTCATCACACATCACAGTCCTTACGTCACGGCCATGGCTGACATTTGACGCGACACCCGACCTTTAACGCGTCATACTGACATTTCAGGTGTTACGCTGACCTTTGACACGACACACTGACCTCTGACGTGTTACGCCAACCTTTGACATGCCGCCCCTAATGTTTGACACGTCATTGTGAACTTTGATTTGACACACCTTCATTGACGTCTAACGCCGACCCTCTCTGATGCATTAGCCAACCTTCAACGGGTCACGCAGACAGCGCTGCAGTGACCTTCGACACGACCCTGTGACCCCTAAAAGCGACTCTGTGACCTTCAACGCTCCACCCACCACAACCCTGACCTTCAACACACCACCGCGAACCTCGAAGCGCCGCCCCCACGACCCTCGACGCTGACCTTTGACATGTCTACGGGCAGGCCGTTGCGGCATGCGTCCATCATCGGCTCGAAGCCCTTCATCTTGCGCAGGTGCTCCTTGGCCTGCGTCAGCTCGCCGTGCCGCTTCGCGTCGAGGGCCGCCTCGCGGAATAGGTTGTGTCGCTCGACGAGGAACGCCATCTGCTGCTCCTGTCTGCTCACTGCGCCGAGAGAACAAGCGAACAGCGCTATAGCGATGCGGACGATACGAGAACAGCGCTAGTGGTGTATATAATAGGAGAATGGCGCTAGTGATGTTGACAACAAGTGAACAGTGTTAGAGATGCGGATGATAGGAGAACAGCGCTAGTGGTGTATATGATAGGAGAATGGCGCTAGTGATGTTGACAACAAGTGAACAGTGTTAGGGATGCGGACGATAGGAGAACAGCGATAGGGATGTGGATGACAAGTGAACAGTGTTAGGGATGCGGACGATAGGAGAACAGCGATAGGGATGTGGACAAGTGAACAGTGTTAGAGATGCGGTCGATAGGAGAACAGCGATAGG